GTTTTCCTCTGAGCACTAGATTCAGCTACCTGAAAGAACCTGAAGACTTCATTTGCGGGTAACAAAGAAAGGGAAGCAATTTTTAATGAAGGAGCATTTTGGGGAGTGGGTCTTCCAGTAGAGGACATCAGGGAAGACCGAGGCACCACAGAAAGTAAAGGAGAAGAGCTGCCTGGCACAGGGGGAGGGTGCAGAACTCAAGGAGGAAGAATACAGGAAATGAAAATGTCATGTAATGGGGGGTGGGAGTACTCTGGAGACTGAGACCTGGGTTTAAATCCCACCTCAACCATTATTAACTTTGAACAACTTCCAAACCTTCCTGAGTCTTGGCTTTGTCATAGGTAAGATGGACATTATTCTCATTTCTCATAGTATTGGCTAAAAACTAAAATGAAATATAAAATGTAAAGCAACTAAAATATATCAGATAATCGATAGATGTTAATCCCCTTACCTCTCCCATCAATTTTTCTTGTGTATCAAATACTCTGTCCATAAACTGTAGCTGATTCTGTTAGTACAACACCCGAGCTCAGCAATATTAGGGTCTATTTAAGCCTTTATGGGTGAGCCCAGAAACCATCATTAAATCATTATTTCTATAGGAAAACATGTTTTGAATTACAAATCGCTTTTTAGAAGACAATGTATTACTGGAGACAATTCTCCATGGTCTCTCGTTTCTGCTGTGTGTCTGCTGTAACAAGCAGAAACACTCATTTTCCTTTTGTTCCAGACTACCTTTTTGAAGATGTTTGTATAACTTCTGGGGAGGAGAACAGGTTTGCTCATAGTCCAGTATTATAATGTCTTCCTCCAGAGCAACAGCCAGGCAGGTTTACTCGCATCCCATTATGAAAACAAGTCAGGTTCCCTGAGCGAGGGGTTCCTCAGCCATGTGCACAGCATCCACCTGGGCCCCTCTGTACCCCCTGTTGGGACTTGGGGGGCACAGAGAAGGAACCCGAACACGAAGCTCATGCTACCTGCTGTTCTGTGAGTAATAAAGCCCTTTATCTCTGAACCGGGAGTCTCGTGCCTTTTGCCAGCATTGAGGACACTGTGGTAGGCTATCTTGTTAGTTTACAAGGAGGGTAAACTTCAGACTCTTCACAGTTCTTCACAACTATTTGTTCAAATAGGTCTATAATTTTCTATCCTTTAATTTGTCACCTTAAAATTTAATGTGTTGGCTTCCCCCTTCTTCCTTTCTTCTTCCTCTTCATCTGAGCCAAGCTTTCAGCCAGTGTGCACGTGCTAAAGGAGAGGGGAACCCCAGTAAGGTGGGGTTTGGTTACATAAGGTGGAGTTGAGCAAATAAACATCTGTTGAAGATATGGAAGCCAGGTTTCTCACAGGGGTTGCAAGTATGGAAAGGGGGATAGATAGAATAAACTCTGTGGTGTTGGAGGTGTTAGTGGGAAATCAGGAGCATGGCTAGCTGACATAGGTGATAGACGGAGAGATAGATAGATAGATAGATAGATAGATAGATAGATAGATAGATAGATACAGATGTGTGTGTACACACAAGTATGCAGAGTATTCCAAAAGTCTTAACACATACATATATGTGGTAGACAGAATAATGTTACCCCCAAACATGTTCACATCCTAATCCCTGGAATTAGGCAAAAGGGACTTGCAGGCATGATTAAAGCTGAGGACCCTGAGATGGGGAGAGCTTCCTGGATTATCCAGGTGGGCCCAATCTCATCAGATAAGTCCTGTTAAAAGTTTACGATAATTTGTCACAGCAGCAAATATTTCTAAGCTCTGTACACTGAGAGGGCTTGGGAGTAATAACATCCCAGAAGCAAGAATCAGACCTAGCAACCAAATATGTGTTTCTCAGCATCATTTATTGTCTAATATAAGAAGTGAAGTGTCTTGATGAAATTGTCAACTCCATTTCTCAGGCAGGGGAAATACAGAGTGAGTCTAGAAGCTATTGTTGCACCAGAAAGTAAGGGAATGCTCAAAGAATGATGGGGGCATATCAAAGGACACAGGATCTGACTTGAAGGAGCTCCTAGTGGCCAAGTCTGTGGCAATTTAAGCATCACAATAAATATTGATGAGCACCTGGGTGGCTCAGGCATCCAACACTTGATTTCAGCTCAGGTCATGATCTCACAGGACATGATTGAGTCCTGTGTCTGGCTCTGTGCTGAATGTGGTGCCTGATTGGGATTCTCTCTCTCTGCCTCTCCCCTGCTCATGTGCGCATGCTCTCTCTCTCTCAAAATAAATAAACATTTTAAAAAATAAATTAAAAAATAAGTACTGATAATGATGGGTTGTAATTTTTGAGCAAAATAAGAATACATGAGTTCATGCAGATACAAAAAGAGAGACAGAAGAATTAATGATGAAATAAATATGGAAGAAAGAAAGGTCTATCCTATAATAGAATACCTACTGATAAATCTAGAAGGAATGATAGAATTTCTTAAATTACCATTTTGCAGTCATCATACCAATGATTGATTTAGGCACCGATGTAGGTTGCCCACCAATAGATGCTAAATCTAGTGAATAAGAGTTTGACAAGGAACAGGGTATTGACATATTCTCAAACTATCCCTCCACAAATATTGATTAATTATTTATTAATGAACTTAATAGTAGAGAAACCTGGCAGACCCCATGTTAAGCAAGTGATAAAAGTTAAGTCACCAGCATTGGAACAAATCAACAGTATGTCTCCTTCTGGGATGCACTGAGAAAGCATAGTATGACTCTTACAGAATTTCTGCCCAAAATACAGAAATCATAAGGAAACCTCAGATAATACCATCACATGGGTGGTTAGGAGGACTTGGGAGGTGACGAGGTCATGAGGGTGGAGCTGTCATGTGATTAAAGGTCTTATAAAAGAGGCCCCAGGGGGCGCCTGGGTGGCACAGTCGGTTAAGCATCCGACTTCAACCAGGTCACGATCTCATGGTCCGTGAGTTCGAGCCCCGCGCCAGGCTCTGGGCTGATGGCTCGGAGCCTGGAGCCTGTTTCCGATTCTGTGTCTCCCTCTCTCTCTGCCCCTCCCCCGTTCATGCTCTGTCTCTCTCTGTCCCAAAAATAAATAAAAAACGTTGAAAAAAAAATTTATAAAGAGGCCCCAGAGAGCTCTGCCACATGAAGACACAGTGAGAAAACTCTATGAGGGGCGCCTGGATGGCTCAGTCGGTTAAGTGTCTGAATTCAGTGCAGGTCATGATCTCACGGTTTGTGAGTTCGAGCCCTGCATCGGGCTCTGTGCTGACAGCTCAAAGCCTGGAGCCTCCTTCAGATACTGTGTCCCTCTCTCTCTCTCTGCCTCTCCCCGACTAGTACTCTATCTCTCTATCTCTCAAAGATAAATAAACATTAAAAAAAAAAAGAAGAAGAAGAAAAAGAAAAGAAAACTCTATGAATGAGAGGTGAGCCCCCATTGGACATCAAAACTGCCAGCACCTAGATCTTAGATTTTCAGCCTCCAGAACCATGAGAAATAAATATTTGTTGTTTACAAGCCACACAGTTGATGATACTATACTAGAGCAGCCTGAATGGACTAAGATATCCATCCACCAGAACTCTCGTACACCCCACGTCTTGCCTTGTTGGCCCTTATCACCAGTGTGATTCTATTCATAGGTGGTGTTTGGTCCTGTGTCTGTTTCCCTTCTGAGATGTTGCACTCTCTGAGGGAAGAACAATTTCCATTTGCTCATCAAAATGGTGCTGGCCCAAGGCCTGGCAGGTAGCAGGTGCTTGGTATGCAGTTGTAGAATGAGCAGATGAATAGAAGACCTTTAGCAAACCTTGTTGAGTATCAGTGTCCCCATCTGTAAAATGGGACACTAATTCCCACCCAGAGTATCTCCCCTATGTGGCCATCCTATGGAACATGACCTGTCCGTGAAAATAAGAGTGCTGACACACAGGGGAAACATGGACTCCACATCCTCCTCCATTAGAGAGTGAAGGTGAACTTGCCTGTTTGTGGTCTCCTTAGAGCACAGGCTCCCATGGGGCCACCCTGAAAGGCAGGCCACAAACAGCCATGACCATGATATCTCTGACTAGGAACCAGCAAGCCTGTTATCCCAGAGCCTCAGGAGTCTGAGTCCTTTGCCTGGGACTTGGGACACACTCAGATTATAGGAAGATAGCCTCGGTTTGGCCATAGAGGGGTATCAGGACTGACTGGTCAGTCTCAAGACATAATATAGTTCATATCCACAGGGAGGGTTGAGCAGAACAAGTCACATAAAAGCATTGACCCAAGGAATCAGCAGACCTGGGCTAAAATCTTTACTCTATCATTGGTTACTAGGCAAAGTACCTAACCTCAATAGCCCTCAGGCTCCATACCTATTAAATGGAGATGACATTACCACACACTGCAAATTGTTGTTTTATTTTTTTAACTTTTTAAAAAATATTTTATTTGTTTTCAGAGAGAGACAGAACATGAACAGAGGAGGGACAGACACACACACACACACACACACACACACACACACACACACACACAGAATCCGAGGCAGGCTCCAGGCTCTGAGCCATCAGCACAGAGCCTGACGTGGGGCTCGAACCCACGAACCGTGAGATCATGACCTGAGCCGAAGGCAGATGCTCCAGCGACTGAGCCACTCAGGCGCCCCACATATTATTGTTTCAAAGATGGAACCAAACAAAGCAGGTAAAATGCTTCCGCAGGGAACCAGCACATACACTCGGTGAAACTTACGTCCATAATTATGCAGAGTAACTAGGTATCCACATTCAGAAACAGGGCCTCTCAGGAGTCCTAAGCAGAGCCATGTTCAAAAGTCAGCCCAAACCAAGAGAGGCAGGAGAACTACTCTTCATATGTCACAATACTCTGAATATTATTTTGATTTTCTGCATGCTTTGCTTTCTGTACTTTTTTCTTCACTTTATCAAAACAATGTCATAAAGTAAACAAACAAACAAAAAAGCAGTCTCTGTGCTGCCATTAAAACCCTTACCTCAAATGCAGCACAGGATTTAATCGGGTAGAGGTAAAGGTTGGTGATGACACGTGGCCCAAGGCCCCCATCCAGGACTCCTGCTGCTTTCTCTGAAGGGGTCTGCTGGGTTCTGGTGGCCATCGGCAGAGGTGGGCGCAAACCCACTGCAGCCACAGTGGTAGGCAAGTCGTTGGAAACCCCAGAGTCTGTGGGAGCATCTTCCCGAGGTGAGGAACTACATCTGTCCACGGTGGCAGGCACAGCGTCCTGAGCCTCGCTCTCTGATGGGGCTCCCACCTCCCCAGGGGTGGTCTGAGGAAGAGGCTGGCCATCACACTGGTGCAGTTGCATTGCTATGATGAACCTGAGAAAGGCCTGAGCATCCTCAAGTGTAGACATATATCCAAAAGAAATCCTCACAGATCCTGTAGGATGCCCATCTATGAGGTCCACATCGTCTCCACAGACGTGACCAGCCTAGAATAAAAGGGAAATAAGTCATTCAGAGTGACTCATTCCTCAGGGATAAATCAGAAATGGTTTTGTAGAAGAAAACTAACCCAGGAAAACAAAATGGCCAACACTAATATGTGCTGTGTGCCTGAGGCAGGGTTTCCTGAGGACAAGGACTCCCTTTCTAGAGTCTCACTTTGCTCAAGTATAAATTGGGGTCAATACCAATCTCAAGGGATCATTATAAAGTTTAAAAGAAATACGTCAGGGAAGGCATTTACCCAGAACCACATGCAATGCCAACCCACAGATCCCTCAAAAGATGGACCGAAGTTTCAGAAGCACTATGGGCCAGCTTCTTGGTCTACCCAGGGCTGTGGCAGGAGAAACACCTTCTGGCTGCTCCCTGGAGCCTCCCTCAGAACCAAAGGGAGGGTCATGTCCCTGATAGCTGCCCTTGACAACAAGGCCAGACAGACATGCTCCCTCTGGGAGTGACCAGACGAGGCCTATCCAAAGCCAAAGGCAGGCTGGGTGTTCCTACTGGGGAGGTGGAGAGAAAAGGCAAGAAGTCTCCAAGCCTCTCCAAGCTGGGCTGCCCAGGGTCGGTCATTGCTCTGCCCACCCACCTCCCTCAGTACTGAACCCAGGCCAGCCACCCAAGAGCTGGGGCCACAGTACTCTGCAGGATCAAATATTATATCTGGAACTGCATTTGTTTGTATTCCAGGACTTCCTCTCTCTTTTGAAATAAAATCCAGTTCGTGGTTGGTTGGGATCTAGTATATACAATATTTAATGACAACAAAAGAAACTCAAGTTAGAAACTACTCCAAACTAAATAAGAGTTCTTTGTCACTTGAACAATTCTTATCTTTGCCACTTGAACTATTCTTATGAAATGGTTCAAAATATTAGCTGTACCCTGAAGTGAAAAACCTCAGCCAGGAGGAGAGGCAGGGATGAGAGGATTCTGGGAGATGCAGACTGGCCCCTGGAAGAGTTTGTCCCCTCGCCCAGCGATGAGCTAACTCTAGTGTGGAGATGTTCTGGTAGGACTGAACTAGGTAAGGGCCCTCTGCACATAGAAGCACATTCTTGCGTATGCTTGCCCCCTGTTAACACCCATATTCTGCCTTTAAATTTTTGCCCTCAAAGCAAAATATGAATGCTACAGCGGTGCTATGTTTTCTTTTTTTGTTGACCCCTTTTCCTTCACAGATCCACAGGGTGGGCTCGGAGAAATGAGCCCAGCCCACAGAACCAGCCCTCACCCCAGCCATGAGACCAGCCTCTAGGGTGGCTGAAGATGCCACCACTGGGTCTTGCTGAGCACCATTACCAACCTCAAGATGGTTCCTGACCATCTCGTCGCTTATCCCCAGGTGCCTCTGGCAGGCCCCAGTGTTACAGAAGCAGCCAGTTCGCACATGGATGTTGTAAAGACTGGCCATCTTATCCACCTGTGGGGTCAATATGACACGAAACCAGTGTTAAGGATGTCGTTTTATTCTGATCACCTGCATCAGTATCTGGACCTCTTTCCTAACAAGAAAATGAAAATATGAGCTTGGAATTTTGCTCCCAAGTGCCATGATCTGTCATGGGTTTACTAAAATGTCACTGATAATTACAGTTTATCCAGATGGATTATAATGTATGCTTGATAAAACTGAAAATACAAAATTCAGGCCAAACTCCCAAGTTAGGAGCTTATGTTTCAACAAATAGTACCATTAAAAATGAACAGAAGATTCGAATAAACATTTTTCCAAAGAGGACATACGAATGGCCAAGAGGTACATGAAAAGATGTTTAATATCACTAGTCATCTAGCAAATGCAAGTCAAAGGAACAATGAAATATCACTGCACACCTATTACAAAGAAAACAGAAGTAACAAGTGTTAGAAACAATGTAGAGAAAGGGAACCCTCATGCTCTGTTGGTGAGAATGTAAATTGCCACAGCCTCTGTGGAAAACAGTATAAAGGCTCCTCAAAAAATTGAAAGTAGAACTACCCTGTGATCTAGCAATCCCTTGTGAGTATTTATCTGAAGAAAATGAAAATATTATCTTGAAAATATATGTGCACCCCATGTTCCTCGCAGCATTACTTACAACATCTAAGACATGAAAACAACTTAAGTATCTATCAAAGGATGAAGAAAATTGGTATACAGTTACAATGGAATATTTTTCAGTCATAAAAAAAGAAAACAAGGAAATTTATCATTTGTGACAACATGGATGGACCTTGAGGACATGATGCTAAGAGAAATAAGTCAGACATAGACAGGGACATGAGTGGGGGATGGGCTAAGTGGGTGATAGGCATTAAGGAGGGCACATATGATGAGCACCAGGCATTATAGGTAAGTGATGAATCACTAAATTGTACTTCTGAAACCATTATTATAATATATGTTAACTAACTTGGATTTAAATTTTTTAAAAATCAGACACAACTTTAAAAAAAAAGGCAAAGACAAATACTGTATATATCACTTATAGGTGGAACCAAAAAAAAAAAAAAAATCAAACTCATCGATATGGAGAACAGACTAGTGGCTGTCAGAGGTGTGGGTGGGCAAAATGAGTAAAGGTGGTCAAAAGATACAAACTTCTAAACTTCTAGTTACAAGATAAATAAGTCCTAGGGATGTAATGTACAGCATAGTGACTATAATTGACGATACTGTTATAATGTGTGTTTGAAAGTTGCTAAGAGAGTAAATCTTAAAAGTTGTCATCACAAGAAAAAAAATGTGTAACTATGTATGGTGATGGATGTTAACTGGTCGTACTGTAGTCATCATTTTACATTGTATACATATATCAAATAATTATGTTGTGCACCTAAAAGCAATACAATATTATACGTCAATTTTATCTCAATTTTGTTTCAATTTGACAGAGACAGTGCCAGTGTTCATGCAAGCAGAGGAGGGGCAGAGGGAGAAAGAGAGAGAGAATCCCAAGCAGGCTCCCTGCCCAGCATGGGAGCCTCCGATGTGAGGCTCGATCCCACGACCCTGGGATCGTGACCTGAGCCAAAATCAAGAGTCAGACATTCAACCGACTGAGCCACGCAGGTGCCCCAATTTTATCTCAATTTTTTAACATAATAACTTAATTTTCTTAAACAGGGCCCATAGGCTCCCGTGAGATTCGCAGCCTGGATGTGGAGTGGCTCCTTGGCATCCTCTGCACAGGGTTGATCACAGAACAGTCCCCAGCTGAGCTACCCCTCGGAGCGGCCTTGTCGGGGTGCACAGCCTGGCCTACACACATTACTGTGTTGACACTGTGCATTATCAATTTGCTCTCCATCGAGTCCCTTACTCGGGGTTGAATCACAGAACTGCTGTTCAATCTATAAGTTCCAAGGCTCTTTCTTGTCTCCTGAAGACTCTGGGAGGTGATCTGCTTTCACTCAAGGCTCAAAGGCAGGGCTAGCATGAGGGATAGTTGCCGGGTTCCTCTGGCTATGAGTCGAGGGATCCTTTCTCCCAAGGGTCTAGGAGCCTGATGAGAGTCCTCAGCCTGGGTGACTTCGGCTAAACTCAGGGGAGTCACCTAACTGCATTTGGGAAAACAAACACGTCGTGCCCAGCTGGGAAAACCTTTGAAACTTTTCTCCCTGGGAATTCACAGTGTAGGGTGGCCAGAGGCAGCCAGGAGCAGTACGGTGCTCTCCACAGACCACAGGCCACCACACGACCAGCACATGCTCCCAGCCAGGCTGTGCACAGCAAGGGTGCCTCCCACCCTGTTGAGACCATGGCTGTCTTCATTTTAGCTGTCTTCCCTGGACTGTCAGAGAAGAAGCCATTGTCTGGGTTGAACTGAGGGGGACTCAGGAAAACAACTCTGCTCCTTTACTCTGGGCAAGGAGCTCAGTGATGTGGAGGCCTGCTAATGAAATCCAGGTGTCCCCTGGCTCTCTGAGCTGAGACCTGGCAGCACCACTGGGTCTGGCCCACTCCATCTCCAGAGTCAGGTGGTCTCCATTCAACGGGCAGCTGCTAGGGAAGTCCCCTCATTGCCCCACCCCAACTCCTGCCAAACAGAATTAGAAGGCTCCAGTGGCCACGCCACCCCCACCCCACATTCACCGTTCCAGTTACCACTGCCGTGACACAAGCCACCAAACGTGGGGGGATAAAGTAGCAGCCATTTTATTGTGCTCACAGCTACAGTAGGTCAAGAATTCAGAAAGAGCACAGAGGAGTCACTTGACTCTGCTCCATGATTTCTCAAGTCCCAGCTGGGAAGTCTCTGAGGCTGGGAGTGACATTGTGTCTGGGGGTTGGGATCATCTGGAGACTTACTTATGCATGTGTGTGTCTGGTCCCCCAGTCAGGAAGGCTCAAAGCAGGACTGCCACCATCATGTCTGTGCTTGGCCTCTCCACATGGCATGGCTTCCTCACAACATGGCAGCCTCAGGATAGAACTTCTTACATGGTAACTTGGGGCCCAAGAGTGGATGTCCCGAGGAATAATGTTGATGTGGCATTGCTTTTTCCGCCACACAGCGTCACCTTCTGTGGCACTTTACTGGTTATGAGAGAGTCACAAACCCATTGAGATTCAAGAAGAGAGAAGGCCCCCAACAAGAAGAGGATGTGGGTGCAAGAGGCTCTCTGGGCCACACCTACGCTTCCTCCTAATTCCCCATCATGAGGCAGTACCCTCTCACCTTGAGCCCTATGGGATCCCAGCCTGTGCCCAGCCAGGTGAAAGAGTTGGTTTCTGCGGCAGGATGAGCACTGCATCCTGGAAGGCAAGGAACCAGCCTGACCACAGTGCACACTGGAGCCTCCCCGCCCAGGAGCCTCTATGCTCACTGTTTATTGAGCACTTGCTTCATACCAGGGCTCCTTGCTCAGGCAGTATACACTATATCTCATTTAATCCTCATTAGCAACACTATCAGCAGGGTACTTAGTTATCCCCATTTCATGGAGACTTGGAGAGCTTACATTAACTTGCCCAAGCTCAGAGAGCCAAGCAAAAGGCAGTCAGAATCTGGACCCACATTCTTAACCACTGTGTAGAGTGACTTCCACAGTGGGGAGAATGAAATTAGGAGCCCTGGCTATCAAAAACAAGACCCTTGGAACACCTGGGTCGCTCAGTCAGTTAAACGTCTGACTTCGGCTCAGGTCATGATCTCACAGCTTGTGAGTTCGAGCCCTGCATCAGGCTCTGTGCTAACAGCTCAGAGCCTGGAGCCTGCTTCAGATTTTGTGTCTCATTCTCTCTCTGCCCCTCCCCTGCTTGTGCTCTCTCTCTCTCTCTCTCTCTCTCTCAAAAATAAACATTAAAAATTTAAAAAAAAAAAAAAGAAAGAAAGCTCAATTATTTTACACATCCCGTGAAAAGAGAGCCAAACCCCACCATGACACGTTTGATCTTTCTAAAGGCCACCAAAGTCCCTGTGGAATTTCCACATGGTGAAGTGGCCCAGGAAAACCATGTTGGACTTTCCTGAGCCAGCACAGTTGGTCACACCTCAGCCACGGAATCCATTCATGATACGAGTCTCCTCTACAAACGCACAGAGGGAGAAACACATCCTGTGTGTGACCTCGGGGAACCAGAATCCTGGTAAAGTCAGCGGGGCACCCAGACAGGAAGCTCTCCCCGCCTAGGCTCTTCCTTCTCTTCAAGAAGTCTCTGGGACAATGAGGAATTCTTTCCCTGCTCTGCCTGCCACCACACATGTCATGGTCACCTGCCTGCCCTCCTCCACACCTCGAGGGAAGTACAACTTATTTGGGTCCAAGAATGAAGCTTACTTTACCCATCACCCAGAATAACACATTTAAGAAGGCAAAACTTTTACTCTTGACGCATTTTTCATTTTCCACCCGCCCCCCGCTCACCACCACCAACAGCATTCAAAATTGCCTGTTTCTTAGTGGCGTCAGGCTGCCAGCGTATAACTAAGGGGTGTCTGCACTGTAAACCCACCCAAGAGACAACCTGTGGTTGTAGAGGGTCCATTCCCAGATACGAGTAAGAATGAACACGTCCCCAGAAGAATATTTCTCAAGTGTGTTCCTCAGATAGTTTATGGCTATTGAGAAGGGGTGGAGGAATGATTCCTTGAGAAATCCTGCATTTAACAAAGGAGATAGGGAGTATGGCTTTCAGGGGAAGATGAACACCTTCTTCCAAACTTATCTGACCATCGAACCTGCTCCTCACAGAGCTGCTCTGGGAACCCAGGCTCTGGGAAGGGCCTTGCGCTCCCCATCCCCGCCAGTCTGGGACAACACATCTGGTGACCATCTATCGCCATGGCAGAGTGCTTGGTATGCCTCTGGACATTTTGATGGACTGAGCAGTGAGTGACCAGCTTACTCAGTTATGGCAAGGACCCAAGCAGTTCCCAAAACACAAACCACTATTTGCACTGTTTTCATGGGAAAAATAGATACAAAGGGTATTCTGCACAAACTATGTTATAACCGAACTACTAAATCTTTCCAACTCATAATATGCACGAACTATGGCAGAAACAAGGGCTTTTGTGGTACTAAGGACAGCACTTCTGCTTACCATAAAGAAAGAGTTCTGAATTCCAGGTTTGAATTCAGAGTTCTGAATTCAAAGACCTGGTGGTAGCAGGCCCATATAGTGTAATGCCATGATACCATCTGCTGTATCCCTGGGACTACCATGCTGAATGTACATGAAATGACCTCGGACGTGGTATTCTGTCTACACTGCTTTTCTGTCTACATTGTTTTAGGGTGTCTTCCCTTGCTGGCAAGCTGTCAGCTGTCACCTTCCAGTGCTATCAAGGACTCGGACCTTCTCTCTCTCCACGTCTGAAAATGCCCATTTCTGGCTGAAAAAAGGAGAGCCGGTAAACTAAATAGCCACACCTGTTAGAAAGGAGTGCCTATGAGAGTGTAGAGCCTCTAAGGAAGGGCTGGGCCTCTCCAATCATGCACGGGCTGCCTTTCTCACAGCTACTGCAAGGACTCACAGACCTGGACTGCAAATGTCAGGGCTCCAAAAGGCTGCAGAGTTCCAGGGGAGAGAAATTCTGTTGTGAACAGGTGCTCAAGGTGACAAGAAAACCCACCTGGATATACATACAATGGAACACTACTCAGCAATGAAAAGGAACAAAATCTTGCCATTTGCAACTACAGGGATGGAACTGGAGGGTATTATGCTAAGTGAAATAAATCAATCAGAAAAGGACAGATATCATGTGTTTTCACTCATAGGTAGAATTTGAGAAACTTAACAGAAGACCATAGGAGAAGGGAAGGAAAAATAAGTTACAGAGAAGGAGGCAAACCATAAGAGACTCTTAAATACAGAGAACTGAGGGTTGATGGGCGTGGGGGGTTGAGGGGTCAGGGGAAATGGGAGATGAGGGCACTTGTTGGGATGAGCACTGGGTGTTGTATGTAAGTGATGAAACACAGGAATCTACTCCCGAAGCCAAGATTACACTATATACACTGTAGGTTAGCTAACTTGTCAATAAATTATGAAGGGAAGGGAAGGGAAGGGAAGGGAAGGGAAGGGAAGGGAAGGGA